ATGGTTCTGCATTTCCACTGGGGCTCCCGGGGTGACTTACCCACTGTCTAACCTTCAACTCCTGCATCGTCCCGCCTCAGGAAAGCCGAGCATGCAGAGGAGAAGAGATGTGCGGAACCAAGACCCAGGTGTTTATGATGTGCTGACCCAACTGGAAGGCAAGAGGCCCCTCTGACAGCGGTTCTCAAAAGATCGGCCATGGACCCCCTTACAGAGATGAGAAACCCAGATTCCCGGGCCCCTCCCACCTTGTGAGTTGGGCACCCCACGCTGCAGCCTGGATTTCCACTCCCACAGCCACCCAAGTGCAGGCAACTGTACAAGTTTGCCAAGTCTGTGCGTTCATGGAGTGGCACGTGGCTGTGGGGAGTTCAGGGACGCACAGGAGAGACGCCATCAGCCGCAGCAGTGGGCTACCCTCCTCCCAGGCTTCCTCTGTGACTTTGCCAACCCTGGATACCAATGGCCTTTTCCCGCGGGGTGGAAGGAAGATTCACCCCTTTCCAAGAGTCAGACGCCCCGACCCTGGCACTGGGTAGCTGCATCACAGTGGTGGAGCCTGGAGCGGCAGTGTCAAAGGGAACAGGAGGGCCACACTGGGGTCTCCAGGGTGTAACACGGAAGCTCCCAGGGAGTTCTTGTAGGGTTTCTCTCTTAATTCTTATAAGACCTTTGTTATTTTTGTGAGATTTGTTTCATTTACTTCTTCCTTAAAACTGCTTGTTCCTTGAGGACAAGGATCAGGTGTCACATTCCTTTGCATCCCTGCAGTGCTTCACATGGTGAGTTGTTGTTCAAGAAAATGTTAGTTGATTGACTAAGTGAGAAAGGATTTGATTCAAGGAATCTTTGGGCTACAAATTATGATTCATTAAGATAGTGTAATCTTCATGAAGACATGTTTATGAAATACTTTATAAGAGACAAATTATAGTAAAATACATCATATTGGCTTATTCTTTAGTTCAGCAATTATTAAAATAATGTATCTTAAGTCTTATATGAATATAAGCCTGTGTCTATTCTGTACCTCCCGAGCAGTTGCCTGTGCAGGATGGATTCCTGGCGTTTCATTCATTCTCCCCCGTTTCCTTACTTCTTCAGAGCCGTGCACTAGAAAGGCTGCCTGATGAGAAGTCTGTTAGGTCAGACTTCAGAGGGTGGAGGGCATTTATGGGTATTAATGCCTTCATTTCTGTCTCTGCAAATGGTCAAAGCACATTATGCTTCATAGTCTAAAAGACAATGAGCAACTTCAAGTGTAGCAATTTAGTTTCTAACCTGAGGACCTTGGACAGCAACTGCGTACTCTCAGGGTAGCTCCCAGCATCGCCACATGATTTTCTGAAGACCACATCTCTGAGCTGGCCTGCAAAAGCACGGATCTTAGAGTGGAGGTTGTCTTCATGGGCATGAGCTGCCCAGCCCCTGCAGGGAAGGGTGCACCAGGAACAGAGGGTGTCCAGGCACAGGGCTCACCCCTTCAGAGAGCCCAATCCCCTCAGTGCCTGGGGAGTCCCTGGCCTAATGACCCCTGGGTGGGAACCGACTGTCACCTTCCTGTGTCTTCAAGTCTCCCGATTGGGAAGGGAAGTCCTGAACGTCACAGGTCGGGGAGAGGCAGGGAGACCGCTCATCCCTTCGACACACCTAGGAGCTCCTGAGTGCCCTCAGGTGCAGAACAGATGAGCCGCAGAAAAGCAACCGAGAGAAGCGGGTGGGAGTGGTGTAAAGCCGTGATTACCGGGGACCTGGGAGACCCCAGGGAGTCTCAGAAGACCCAGCTGGCATGGGCCACCCTGCCAGCAGAGAGACGCACTGACGGGAGCCAGGGTGGCAAGAGGGACTGCCAGGAGGGGGCGAGAAGACAGCCATGCTGCAGCACAGCCTTGTGGGTGGACCGGGGGCTCTTCCGATGTTACCCCTCTGGGCCCACTCACAGGACAGCACTCGGCTGGATTTTTTTTTTATTGGTTGTTCACAACATTACAAAGCTCTTGACATATCATATTTCATACAT